TTTTATTTTATACTAAATTAGTTTTTTCGGTTACCAATTTGGATATTGTAATCTGGGTATATCTCTGATCTGGTTGGGTCCTTACTAATTTGCTTTGTTTTAACGAATCTTTATGGGACTTGTTATGGTAGTTTTGTTGTAGATCTTAAACTTTAGTGTCTGCTTCAATATGGTTTTTGCATATATGTAACTTTATGTTTTTTGTCTGTTAATGATTGATTGATGAGAGTAATAAATTTAGATGAGGCTAAAAAATTTGATTTTGAAGTTGCATCGTGGATATTGATGAAGTTTATGATTGATGAATGGAAGCTTTCATAAGCGTAAGGACTAAAAGTCTTGTTGCAAGCTGAGACCATACGTCTATGTAGAATTATGACAATTTTCCAGAATTGAACATTTAATTTTTGGTAAAAACCTAAACGACGAAATTTAGTTGAAAACGTTAGGCTCAATGGAAAAATCACAGATGTTGAAGATTTTGACGTTTTCGTCCGGCTTAGATTTGTCTTTCACAATTCAAACATCTGCGGATCTTGATTTCCTCTAATACCTTTTGACCTCTCGAGAATCAAGTTGATCCACGAAGGCACTAGCTAATTAGATTGCATTCCAAAGTCCAGTAACAAGTGAGCCATATTGATAATTACAAGTAGGTGGACCTAACTTTGTGCTACCCGCTTTGTATAAGACAGTTGTAGATTATCAGTTCTTAGTGATCGACATGAAATATGCTAATGAAGTATTAAATGTTGATGTTGACAGAAATATCAAGGGTCTGCAAATATTAAAATATCAACATTGAGAGATTAGATAGAAATTTTGAATGAAAGTACAAAACTTGAATTCTGGATAGTATTGTATCTAACACTGACGCTGGTTAAAAGTTGTTAGAATTCAATTGAAGTTAATTTTAGTTCTTCCAAAGGGGGAATTGAAGTACAAGTGAATTGAATAAAATTATATCAAAATGAAAATATATAATGATTGAAGTTGCTCAACCACTGAATATAGGGATTCTTTCTCTGGAGTGACAATGTGTTGGTAATGAGAATATGCCCTAGATTTTGTATATATAATCCTGTGGTTACCAAGGAATTGTAGAAAAACCTTGATGTGCTATTTGTTTAGTTTAAACTTTTGTATGTTGGTTTAAGACTTGATATTAAGTTGTTTTTCACTTTTTCTTTTTTGAAGGTTGCGGTCTTTGCTTAGGCAAATCAAACTGAACCAGATACAGTAGTCAGGACTTGGAAGTGCTTTGTTCTTATAAAATTCAGCTGCAACATGGCGAAAAATTTAACAACAGTTAAATCATCTGTGCTTTATAAATATTGGATTATAAATGTGAAATTTATGTTATTGAGTTGTGCGGTCTCCTGTTGCTGCTGCACCTTTGGATCATGGATTCATGGTTATGAGTTGTGAGTTTATATCGGGGATTTAGTTTCTTAATTTTTAATTAATGTTCATTTTGGCATTTTGTATTGGATATTTCCACATTTGTTGTACTTGGTTTATGGAAAACTTTATCATTGTTCAAATTCTTTCTATAGATGCATGATCCAATCTAGAGTTTCTCCAAAATTTTCAAACGTTTGGCTGGTACTAGGATCACTAGATGCTACTTGGTCAGACTCTGCGCAGTTGTTCTAAAAATATAATAATAAAATAAAGACTATGTTCTGGTGTTGGATTCAGACTCTCTTGCTTGTACTAATCATTCTGTCATGTATTATCAGAAACATGTCATGTTGAATTTTCTGAAAACTTCGTTTGTACCTCTTGAATTTTTTGGCCATTATCTATAATAGTTTCCTTTGTTTCTTTCATTTCCTGCAATTAATTTTCCCGATATTGTTTTCAATCTTTTCAGCAGGTATCCTTTCTATCAATTTCATTTGTACGTTCTATAAATTTGTGTTTTCTGTTTTCCTCTTATTGTCAGGGTTAATGAAGCTAAATGATATTTCAGCAGGGAGCACAACAAGCTCCAAAGATCTCTGCACATTGATATTAACTATTCTTATAAAGGGGTTCTATCCGCGAAACGTAATCAGATACTTTAGGAAGTGAGTGATTTTGTTGAAAGATATTGGGGTGTGATGGACAGGTCAGACACATCAGGCTTTGTTAGCGGTGGAGGTTGCGTATTAGGATTTCGTCTACTTGTTCATTCAGTTCTGATATGTCGACTTACTAATTGTATGTGATAAAGAGTAGTCTGTTATTCGGGTAGCTTAAAACACAGTTCCCAGAAAATGGATTTGAACAAGAAGAGTGTACTATTTTCCCATGATGGGGAATTCACGAAAAATGACCACTTTGGCTTTGGCGATACTGCTCTATGCTTGAATAGCCCTGGCTCAGGTGGAAGCAACACTACCAGGTATAGGTGTACTCGAAGCACTTTCAACGTTAACTCTTCCAGTGCTCCCGAGGACAGCTGCAAATTGGTACTTGGATTGGGCCCAACACCAAGTGCCTACTGCGATGATTATTATAATTTCGGATCTACGAAGAATAGAGGATTACGCACTGCATTATCTCAGGGATTTGCATCTGAGGGTGATTCAATCCTCCAACTTGGTCTCTCTGGAGGACATCTTGAAGCTTCAGCTATGCTTGATTATTCAATTTCAGGAGAGACTGATATTAATGTATCCTATATCCAGAACCAAGTATCTTCTGAAGATAATCAACTCTCAATTCCAATTGTTGATGAGGGTTCTACTTCAGCCAAGAAATCAGGTGGTTATATGCCATCACTTCTTTTTGCTCCGAGAAGAGAAAGTGCCAAGGTTTCTCTGCTGACTCAAGAACTTTTAGAGCTCGGGCCCAAACCCCAGCTGAGAAATGAACCTTCTGCTACAGCAGATTACTCAACAGGAACAATCTCTGAGCAGGCAACCACAGGGACAACTTCAGACCACCGAACTAGCAATCCTAAGAAATGCAAATTTTTTGGCTGTAGAAAGGGAGCACGAGGGGCATCAGGTCTTTGTATTGGCCATGGGGGCGGACAGAGATGTCAGAAACCTGGGTGCAACAAGGGTGCTGAGAGCCGAACAGCATACTGCAAGGCACATGGTGGAGGAAAGAGGTGCCAACACTTGGGGTGCACCAAAAGTGCTGAGGGGAAAACAGATTACTGCATAGCTCATGGTGGTGGCAAACGATGTGGTTATCCAGGTGGATGTACCAAGGCTGCTAGAGGAAGGTCAGGGCTTTGCATTAGACATGGTGGAGGGAAAAGATGTAAGGTTGATGGCTGCACTCGTAGTGCCGAAGGACAGGCTGGTTTATGCATCTCGCATGGCGGTGGTCGCCGTTGCCAGTACCAGGAGTGTGCAAAGGGGGCGCAAGGGAGCACTATGTATTGCAAGGCACATGGTGGTGGAAAGCGTTGCATATTTCAAGGGTGCACCAAGGGTGCTGAAGGAAGTACCCCATTATGCAAGGGACATGGTGGGGGGAAGCGCTGCCTTTTCGATGGTGGTGGGATTTGCCCTAAGAGTGTGCATGGAGGCACTAATTTCTGTGTTGCTCATGGTGGTGGAAAGAGGTGTTCTGTGCCAGGCTGCACAAAAAGTGCCCGTGGCCGTACTGATTGTTGTGTTAGGCATGGTGGAGGTAAGAGGTGTAAGTTTGACAACTGTGGAAAAAGTGCCCAAGGGAGCACAGACTTCTGCAAGGCCCATGGTGGGGGAAAGCGGTGTACATGGGAAGAGGGTAAATGTGAAAAATTCGCCAGGGGCAAGAGTGGTTTATGTGCTGCTCATAGCAGCATGGTGCAGGACCGGGAGACAAATAAGGGAGGTCTCATTGGACCAGGACTTTTCCATGGGCTTGTATCTGCGTCTTCAACAGCAGGAAGCAGCTTTGACAACAATCATTCTTCTTCAGGAATCAGTGTCATATCTGACAGCGTTGAATCACTGGAAAAGCCAGGGAAAAGACATCTCATACCCTCGCAGGTATTGGTTCCACTATCGATGAAGTCCTCCTCATCCTTTTCAAATTTCTTCGGTTCTGAGAAGCCTGATGAACGGAGAAACGAGTATGGCATTTGTGTTGGTAGTAGTGACGGAATAAAGAGCTTGGACTTTAAAATTCCAGAAGGGAGGGTCCATGGAGGACCCCTCATGTCACTATTTGGTGGTGACCTGAAAAATGCTATTGATGGCATCTGAGTTATAAATTGGTGCCTTAAATTTGTAGATTTTTATTGTATAATTGGGATATTTTTGGTGATGGGAGTTGTGTATAATTTTTCTGCTCAACGACACTCGTATATAGTTTGTGCACTTTACTGTAATGCCAGTCATGGGGATTTTTGACTCTGATTTGTGGATTATGCTGTTTAATGGCCATAAATGGTGGAAACATTTACATCAGTTTGCACGTTGTTTCAAATCTGTCTTTTTGGGTCCTGAGTTGTGTCAAATCTGTTTTTGGGTTCTGAGTTGTTTCAAATCTGTAGGGGTTTAAAATACAGCTATTTTTCTTCCAGTAGATAAAGGAGGGGATACTCAGACGCACATTGACACAATCACCAGTAGCAGAAAGAAACTTTTAGCATGTTTCTGATTCAATTATTCATATTCTCTGTAGTTTACAACTTTAGTATTGCAATTGAACTTTACAAAATTTGTTATTTAATTATAACTCGTTCCAGTGATGAAATGGAAGTCGATTTCCCCCAACAGGAAAACTGTTCTCTCTTTTTTCCAATGGCTTGAAAATCCAACCGTAGTGTAGCGTGTGCTGAACTCAAAGCGATGAAATGATAGCGCACATAATTAAGGTAGCCATTGAAAGGTGACTGAAATGCGAGAAATGGGGCTACACGAGCTAACAACAGAGGCAAGATAACGGAACCATCAGTACGGATGGCCATTTTGTTGGCCACAGCGAAGTCAAGACTGCATACAGACTAGAAAGGCTTTGTCCTTTGTTCATACAACACTTGATTTTACAAGGAACCAAAATACACCATATGTCAAATGAATCTTAGATTTCTACTATTCCAGATTTCCTTGCTTATCGACTTCTATGGAGTCTACGGAACCAGATTCATCCTCTAAAACCTCTGCAATGACCTTTGGCACCTGTTTTAATAGTCGAGCCTGTTCAGACGGCTGCTTTAGCAGCTCTCTTTGGTCCAAATATTCGCATAACGTTGAACACAAAGCAGGTTAAGGTCCACTATCATTTTTTGGGACAAAAATAGCAAAACAAAAATGAAGGTAAACAGTGTGTATGCTTGCACAGAGACACCCACAGAGAGAGAGAGAGAGAGTGTGTGTGTGTATAATTTTCCTCAAGATAAAAGATCGCGAGCGGAAGGACTTCCATCTAGTTGAATAGCCTTCAATAAAAAAAACTCAGATGAAATCACTCAAAGTTATGCAAATTTTATTTTTACCACTGAAGAGACATAGAAACTATGAAAGGATATTCTCTTCTCCATCCTTTCTCATTTGCCCGATCAATGCACTTCTGTAACCTGACCAACTCTCGCTCAATCCGCTGACAACAATATTTCCACAAGATGCAGAAAGGATCAGAAAAATGAAGAGCAAGCAACATTCCTCTTTGTAATTGTACTAGTATATTCAGAGAAGTTCTATGTGCATGAAAATTTTTAGAGGGTGAGAGGAATGGCCACATGGGGGAAATTGGCAACAGATTTTAGAAGTTAATACCATAAATTAGAAATACCTACATGCTTAGTTATGTCCTCATGGAGATCTCTTGCCTTCTGTTCAAGCTCAACCTGTCCAACAACACACCTTGGTTAAGGTTTGGAAAAATTATATATTATATATACACATACAATTATTTGCTATAGAGGATGTCCCATAATTCTTAAAGACATGACATGTTGAGACAACCTCATTTCAACTAAATTTTCTTCAACTTTGATCCCATTCATTGACATGGTGGATTGTTTTAGGGTGTAGAATCACCATTTAGAGCTTAGACTTTAGGTTTCCAGCCTCGGATTGGTTAATCACTTCGATTTTAGGTTTTAAGTATCAAATTGTGGGCTCTAAAGGACCATTCTATACCCCAAAAGATCAACCATGTCAATAAATGGATCAAGAAAATTGAGTAGATGTGAGGTTTTCTCAACCCGTGTTGTATTTAAGAAATTTGGGACTCCCTGTTTACACGTATACGCATGAATGTTTGTATGCATTGTTAGTCTAGAGAGGCTGATTCAACACAAAGTATAAGGCTGACAAACCCATCGTTCAACACAAGAGTTTGAGTTTCTAAAATTTGGCCATATCAAAACAGATCTCCATGGTGAGCCACACAAATCTTTTTCCAGAAACCAGATGAAAGAGAATTAAATAGAAAAAGAATAAGTTATTCACTATTATTATTCGTAAGAAAGATCGATATGATCTCAGAGGGGAATCTTATACTTACAACTGTAGGTTTCCTCAGCATGCCATTTGTCACATTTTGTCGCAAATCCTCACATTCATCCTGCAAGAAGCACAGTGGAATTCCATAATACTCTTATAGAGGGAAATTCCTGATTAAAATTCTTCTTATTATAAAAGAAACAAACCGATTTGTATATTTTCAGAAATGCAAATGACAAGTTATTTATAGCTTAATAATGTCAGAATAGCACATCATATTTTATAGGTTGTGAGTTCAACTCATAGGAATGGGGAGCTCTCCAATTATGTATCCTTCTATTGACATTATCGCGTACCCGTATATTAATAATGTCAGCTTTAAAATTCATATACCTCTTAAGATTTTCTCCGCGTCATAAATATGGAAAGATTTCATAAGCAGGTCAGTTACCTCAGTGAAGTCAACATCTGACAGCATAAAAATGGGAATATCACTTGGAATATTGGAAACTTGCAGGAGAATTTCACCGTTCGTTTCATTAATATTTGAGATTTTCCTTATGCCTGCAAGGATATAAAAGTAAAAAACTTATATAATTGAAAGAAATCTCAGGAAACCTTAAAAACCTGTGGAGGAAACAAGAGCTTTTCTGTCAAGATAGCATCATGACTACTTTTGAATATCAATCTTTCATGTTATATTCCCAGTATAGGGTCAATTCCATTCATAGATACGTCAACAAGTTATATTTATCAAGAATTCAAACAAATCAGACTAGAAGGCTAACAGTTTTCCAATCTGAGATTATTAACACAATGCAAGCTATCACATAATATTGACTACAAACAATTTACCTTCAACTTGTAAAAGTTGGTGAGAATTTCTCTGAAGGTAGTCTCTGGGGTCATTTTTCACTCTCACAAAACTTCCTTGAATCTTGCTTTCAGAATTTTCAGGCTGCTTCAGCAACTCCTCCAGTAAGCTCCTTCTTAAGTAGACAAGCTTGATATTATCGGTCACTAAAGATGCAAAACAACTTTGTCGGACGCTAGGACTCACTTCATTTTCAAGAGATGTTATATCTGAGCTTACTGTTCCCTTCTTCCCTACTATCACTGTATCTTTCTTCTTGTCTTCCAATTTACTTTCATCTTCATCCTCACTTGTATTCTCATCCCATAATACCAAGTTGTCACTAATATGTGCCCCCAAAAGACCATATATTTTCATCCTATCTAGTGACTTCTTTCTGAAAATTGAATACAGCTTATCATCACATAGAACCTTTCTCTTCTTTTCAGGGTGAAATAGGTTTCTATCTCTGATGTAAGCAAAGATGATAGAGTCCAAATCATACTGTGATAACTGTTTAGTTGTATCTTTACCAATGGATCTGAGGAACTCAATGAGAGGTTTCGATCCCCATCCGAGATATTCTTGTTCCTTTGGCGCCTTCCTTTTTACCATCGACCTCTGAAGTTCTGTACTATCAGCGACACTATTAGATGTTGTCAGGTCAATATCTTCTTCAGTCTCACCAATTTTTATTGAATCAACATCTGCAGAATAGACATCATCCAAACTCAAACCTTCCTTTCCTTTTATGATTTCCCAATATTCTTTGAATAGGCATTCAAAAGTATCCCGATCCTTAAAGTCTATTTTTTCCTGAAATTCAACAACCATACAACTGTAAGAGAAACATAAATAATTAACTAGATGCTACCTCAACAATGATGAACAAATCCAAGTAAAGAGATGCGCTATAGGCTTGTCATCAGTTTTATTCAGAACGTATATCGAGTGCAAACGAACCATATGGATTAACTATTTACATTAAAGACAGAACAACCATATAGATTTTAATATCGTAAGAAAATTTCTCATGAAGTGAAATAAAAGTTCCAGGTCAAGTGAAAATTAATACCCTTGCCTAAAAAGAGGTGACACTATATTGGTTGCCGACAACCCAATACCCCCTCTCTCACTCTCCTGCTCCCCAAACACTTCAAATGAGAGCAAATGTATAGCCCTTTCAAATTGAACAAGAAAATGATACAGGTTCTTGGTGTGCCGTTTCGCGTGAATGTTTAGGCGTGCACATCACATGTATTATCTGACTTCATTCCACATGTAGTACATGCAGTATTACTCTCATTCTGATTAGAGTAACGATTTTCCGGAAGGCTTAAAGGATTTTTAATAGCTACACACCAAAAGGCGATTAACTTCACACTGGTTACTCTTTCCTTTTTTTCTTATTTTATTCATTACCATTCATAGATTGTCATCCTTATAAACTTCAGATAATAACAGCTAAGATATAATCAACTCCTACTCTGTTTATTCTCCTTTCAGTTTGGCATTAATCAGTTGACAAAAATCATACATATTTTGTCTACATAAGTCCAAATATAACCTAAACCAAGCTGTAACATTCTAGGCCTACATACACACAAGAAATTCCTAGAAAGAAAATAATTAAAAGCAAGAAGGGAAAGTAATGATCAAGAAAGCATCCATCTCAATAGTAAATGACAGTAAAACCAGTAAAAGAGATTTCTCAAAACTAGTTTAACGCAGTAAGATTGCTTAACATACCCCATCTAAACCGTATTCTGAGTTTTCTTCTGCAAGTAACACAAGCTTCAAACAGGACTTGCAAAAGCCTTGCTTCCCTCTAACCACTGTAAACTCGGAACCGCTTATGCAATGTTGACATACTGAATTTGGACAACAATAGCAGCAAAACCTTGGGGTATCAAGGCACAATGAACAAGAATGCCTCCCTGAAACATAAAATTGCATCATCTTTTAAACTGCTAGACATAAATAATTCATGTAGTGCAAATATGAAGATAAAATCTATTTACCGCAGTACTTAATCATGTGAAAGAAAATCTGCAAACATAATAAACGGAATTTATTTAACACCTCTAACTGTATACCTTTCCAAGTGTTAGGAACTCTGGCCAAGAGTGTTTTTTAGTCCTTATTGACCTTAAGTTTGGTACGGAGTCCAAAGCCAATTCAGATTATTGAGAAATATTTGGACTTTGAAGTGATTAGTGGATATATGACTGGCAATCATGGTGAGATATCCAAATGAAAAGATCCCCAATCATATATAACTTACCGATAGAAGGACAACAAGAGGTAAAAGAATAAATACAATTCTGGGGAAGGTAAGCATGATTCAGAAAATTGTGAAGCATATAAAGCTCATATATACCATGCATACACATTATCAATTCTGTAATATGCTATGTACAATGATTTCAATAAAAGCACAAATGAATCGTCATTGATAAAAGTGAAGTTTCTTACTACAAGTCCAGTGCTTTCCAGTATCAATGAAGGATTTCTTTTTGCCAACACATCCAGGATGATAAACTTTTACACAGTCCCTAAAATGAGTAATTGTGTTAAAATATAGAAGTATAAAAAATGTCCTAAGTCTAGGCACAGGAATAATTCATGGCACATGTGTAAATGCTAGAAGAGACCAGAAAGTACAGGTTGAGGATCAACATAAGATGCAATGCTCTCTTCTGGTATCCAAAATTACAGCCACACACAGAGAGTAATGCTCTCTTCTTTCTCGATTATCAGACATGATGTCAAATAATGAATGAGGATTATTAGGTCTGAATATGTGGTTTTCTAATTCACAATCTGACAACATTAACATGTTCCAGCAAGAGAGTATCTTTATCTCTATGTACTGTTCGTTTGCCAAATATCTAGCATGCTATGTTGCCAGACTGTCAATCAAACCACGTATGCAGACTCGATATCACCTATATGGCAAGAAAACATTTCCACATATCCTTATTTTCCTCACACTATTTTGCATGTCTCTAGCCATAATATTTTGAGCTTTGGAAACAGAACAATTCCAAAGAAAGCACAATACACTTTACATCCATATGACATAATCTGAATCCTTGGCTTGAAAGTTAGTTCACACTGTATATATTTAATATTAAAATGGTACAATTATAGGTTTGTCTAAAACCCCAATTCTTGTTGGGCCACCCCCTAGGGCCCCTACAATGTACCATAATGCACTCCTTTGGATATAATTACTTTGCCTCTAGGCTAGCTATATAATCTTTCTAGCTTTAATAATAAGCCACCTCTATGAAACATACACGTCAAATAATTTTTTGCTCCTTTTCCTGGTTAAATATGGACTAGTGCATTTTGCATCAGACCTGCATTGGAGGGACCCCAATTTGAGGAGTTTGTGTCAAAGTGTCGGCCCGGCCGCATGCGGGCCTGGGCCGTTCATGATTCACGGGCCACCACAAAACATAGAACCACAACCCTATTTTTGTTAATTTTGATAGGTTCATAATACTCAAAATGAATGAAAACAACATGTCAAATTTTGCTAGTTTCCTTGAGGCCTGCCTAGTTGGGCCATGCCAGTCAGCCGGTGGACCAGGGCGAGCAAAGAAAGTACATGGTTAAGCCTTTCAAATGGATGGGCCAGAGCTATCAGCCTGGGCCCGGCGATAGCCGAAGCTTGGTGGGGCATTAGAAGAGGCTTCTTAGGCCGGCCGGTGGCTTTAGAACCTCTCTCAATCTTGAAAGCGAATGTATAGATTGCAACATGCAAACAAGCAAGACATACTTTTTTGCAGATGATTCAGTAAAACTGTAAACAGAGTTTTTTTTTTTAAAAAAAAGTAAAAACTCACTTGTAGTCACATAGCATGAGGTCTCCACCATCTTTGCAGATGAAGCACCAATCCTCTGCCTCTCTCTCCTCGTTTGACACCGTCTTCTCTTCCTTCCTCTGCCTCTTCCATGTCTTCATCCTTCTCCTTCTTCTTCTTCTATCTCAACTGAGAAACAAAACCACCCACAAAATAAAGAACAAAAAAAAACCCAAGTTACTGCTTTAAATGTATATATATATATATATACACACACACACACATCATTAAAACCTAACCAAAAAAACAGTCCCAATATTTATTTTGCTTTCAATCTTGTCTTTGAAACCGAAGAATTAAAGCATGCAAAAACCAAAAAAAGAAGTGAGTTTACCAAAACCAATTGCACCATGCAATCAGTGTTCTTCAAGACAAGAGAGAATTATGTTAACTTTGATGATCAAAACCCAAAATCAAACAGGAAAATATTTTCTCTTTTTGTTTTTTTGTTTTTGTTTTTGTTTTGTTTTCTAATTTTTACTTCTACTGCTAAAGCTGTTGTTGAGTTAGAATTTGTATGCTGGTTGAACTCTACAACAACTCAACCAGCAGTTTAAATTACCCTTTTGTCCCTGACAATTGTCCTCTTGCTCTATACGAAACTGCCCAGAATCCCGATAATGCCTCTCTATCTGTTCTAAACGAGTAAATTGAGGCCGACTGATTTGACATTCTTCACCCTTCCCAATAATAAGCCACTCTCAAAATCTAATTCCGATTGTCTTTCCTTTTTTATATTACTTTTCGCGGGAGGATTATATTATATTATTTATTTCCTGTCTTTCCTTCTATTGGGAGTTTATAAAAAAAAATAATAAAAATTGAGTTACAGTCCATTAGTGTAGAGACACCGACGCTACTCATCCTTTCTTTAAAAATAAAAATAAAAACACTTGCCTCAATCACAATTTACAACGAAGAAGAAAAAGGAAGGATCAAGGATATAAGGCATTGATAATAAATAAAAAGGAGAACCTGTTTAAGCACTCAATAAATTCTCACGCATGATATTGGGAATTACATCAGACCAGTTATATAGTTGTACCCTTTTCCAATTTTAGTAATACGAGGACGGTACTTCTTTTATTTATTTGATGAAGTTTGTAATCGGTAGTTATTGTTAATCATAATGATGAAATATGTAATCGATACTTATCGTCAATCATAATGTTACGGACATCAATTTTTATGATATGTCACAAACAAGACATGATATAATATGTCATGTCATTTGTCTATCTCATAATACATGTTTAAAAAGTTATTAAGAAAAAAAGGGAAATTAACCAACAACAACAGACAACAATAAAATTAAAAAAAAAACATCAATCATCATTCAACAAAAGCTGAAAGAAGCTTTTGAGCTACAGCTTATGCCACCATAACTTCTTAATTCATCTCACCACACCCAGCAAAATACAAAAATAGGTAATTGGGATAAATGACCCCCCTAGCAGCTCAATAGCATCTCTCTCTCTCTCTCTCTCTCTCCATTGAAGACTTAAATATCTCGCCGTAAATATTTGAAGAATACCCAGCAAAATACAAAAATACTAAGATTACAACGCTACCGATTTTTCTAAACGTAAATATTTGAAGAGACAAAAAATATATACATGTGGAAATTATACATAAATATACTAGTCATTACATGTAAATCTTAGTATCAAACAACTCATGTACATCGAATTCTGACACGACATCAGAGTATTGAATTAAGCAAGGTTGCAAGTCTATTTTTTGTTGGAAGTTTGGTTATCACATTTCATGTTCTTAATCAGAGCTTACTCTCTAGCACCTATGTTGCACCGACACTCCAAACTGCTGGAGTGTCGGAGTGTCGGACACGCCGACACGCCGACACGCCTCCGACACGCGTTGGACACGGTCAACGGCTGGGACACGCCGCCGACACGGTCAAGACACGGGGGGACCAGATTGAAATTTTGAAAATAAAAGTTGGGGTCTAAACGTGATTTTTGAAACTTTAGTGGACTGATTTGAAATATTTTTAAAACGTTGGGTTAAAAGTGGAAAAAGATTTTTTTAAACCTAAATGAATCCCACATTTTTCCCTTTGTTTTCAAATTCTTTTTTTATGTTCTCTATCTCTATTTTCTTTTCTTATCACCCTCTTCACAGCAGTAGAAGAGTTGAATTTGGTGGTGAGGTGAAGATTATTTCTTCTGTTTTTTTTTTTTTTAAGAGAAACACAACAAGAAGGACGATTCTTTCTTGCAAATCGTGACCAAGAAGGACGATTCCTTCTTGCAAACTCAGGTTAGGCTTCACAGATTTTTAATTTTGTTTCTCTGTTGTACTGTTTTTTGTGTGTGGGTATTTTGTATGATTGTATATGTTTGGGGCTTTTTTTATTTTTAATAAAAGTCTTGTTATTAGTTGTTGAGTATATTTGAATTTGTTTTATTAATTGGGTATTAGACTATTAGACAGAATTAATGTGAACCATGTTTTATTTTGTTTCTCTGTTTTGATGTGTTTTGTATCTTTGTATGATTTTATCTATATTTGGTTTTTTATTTTTAATAAAAGTCTAGTTTCTCTGTCTTGAAATATTGAGAATTAATTATTATTTTAATTGCCGTGTCCTAGCCGTGTCCGTGTCCTACTTTTTTGAGATTTTCCATATCGCCGTGTCGTCGTGTCGCGTTCCCGTGTCCCCGTATTTATGTCCGTGCAACATAGTCTAGCACAACGGTGAGAGAAACAACCATTATTGACTTTTTTTTTTCTTTCTAAATTCTGAAACTTTTAGATATGACTCTAGCCTTCTATTGTATTTTTTTTTTCCTTCACCCTTTAATTTCATTGAAATCCATGTTAATAAAAATAAAGGAAAAGGGATTGTAAATCTAAACCTTGTTTGCCTCATTAGGGAAAAAAAAGAGTGCAACTACTAGAAACCAGATTGTTCCTTTTCGAAAAAGTTTGACACATAGGACTAAGTTGACCCTAAAAGAAGAAATTATTATTGTTTTTATTAAAATAAAAAACAAAAGAAGAAAAAAATATTAGTAACAAGCTTACTAAAATTAAGAGGCGGGGAAGATAGAGTCACGCTTATATATTAAGAAATCGATCAGAATTTTAGTACAACAGTTACTTGCAGAGCACGTGAGCTTCTCTGAGATCGAGAAGATGAGAAATTGAGAATGGCGGTGATGCATTTCCAGCGCAAACCCTCGGAATTGGAGCACTAGTGTTAAGTCTCTTCTTCGCCATTGCCATTTCTCATCTCAGACCTTAGATTGACGCTTCTTCCTCCGCGATTTTCATCCAAAACCTAATTCTGTGATTGCATTTGGTACGATTCTGAAACGATTAACGATTTTTATCATCTGCATTTTCTCGGAAGCGTTGTTTTTCTCGGAAATGTAATCTGATTGTTTGTGCGCAGAGCAGAGCATAGCAAATTGATGGAAGGTTTTCACAGCAACTCGAAAATGGCGAAACTGCGCAAAGGAAACTTGGAGAATGTGGACCTCAACTCGCCATTGTTCAGGTACTTGTGCGCTCAATCTCAGTGTCAGTCGCCGATGGACGCCTTGAAGCAGCGTCGTCGCCACCTCTCGCCGCTCTCGCCTGTGGAGAATCTGATGGAGAGGTCGCCGCCTTCGATAGTTTATAGAACGCCGGTGAGAGGGGTGCAGAGGGAGGAGGTTCTGGTCATGGACGGTGTTTTGGTCACCGGAGGAGGAAGGAGCTCAAGGTCTGCTTCTGATCTGTTGTCATCTTCATCTTCTTCTGATTCTTCGGGGAAGATTCTGTACAAGACCGACCTTTGCAGGTCCTGGGAGGATTCTGGAAGCTGCCGCTACGCCTCCAAAGGCCAGGTCTCTCTCTCTCTCTCTCTCTCTCTCTCTCTCTGTTCCTGTTCTTAAGTTTTTCTTTATATTAAATTTATAATGGCTGAAGTATTTTATTGGCAGTATAATCATTTTTAATTTCATTGTTTCTTTAAAATGTGAAACTATTGCTCGTTTATTGTTTTTGTTTTAAGATCTTTCTGTTGGGAGAAAACAATCTGTTTTTGGAATCTAAAAGACTAGTAAGACTTGGTGCGAGCCGTTTCTGATCTGCAAGATGCAAACTTTATGTATGCCAGTTTAGTATTCTTGCACATGGAATTCTTTTTAGCCTAAAATTCAAGAATCTTTTTATGTCAACAGTGTTTCTGTCACACCTTTTATTTTTGTGTGTTGGTTTTGCTAGTGTTCTTAAATTCTTTAGTCTGCCTTTTTTTGCTTGTTCTTACAAACTTCTAGGGAAAGTCTAAAATTTACAAAACAGGATGTTTGTTCGATTATAGAGTAGTGCAAAGCAGAAAATATTGTTGCTGCACACAAGAGCAGAACATACAAGTAAACAACACTAGCAACATTAAAAATTCCTTGGGATTTCAGATAAGCCTATGGTTACTCAAAATGATGTTCCGTTAAGAGCTTGTTTTGACTTTGAAATGACATACGAGAAAGAACTTAGGTTGTATGCTCATTCATTAATATTTGAAGAAGTGGATAGTTCCAAATTGGATGGAACTTTTAGATTGGTGAATGAAGACAAAGGTTCAAGTAAGATATAGTTGCACACTTGAAACTTAGCTGTAGTAATGTTTAAGATCTCTCTTTCTCTCTCTCTGTCTCTGGTCTTCGTATTTTCTTAATATTTATGTGTTAATTTAATGGCTGGTATTGTTTTGGAATCATAATAATTGTGAATGCCATTGTTTCTTTAAAAGATTGGTGTGAAATTGTTACTCAATTTTCTTCTTTCCTTTGTTTTAAGATCCTTCTGTTTGGAGAAAAGGAAATCTGTTTTTGGAATCTAAAAGATTAGGTACACTTGGTGTGAGCGTTTTCTGATCTGCAAGATCCAAACTTTATGTATGTCAGTTTACTACTCTTGCACTTGAATTTCAGTTGAGTCTGAGATTTGAAAAGTCTTGTATGCCAGCAGTGTATCTATGTCACACATCTTTGTTTTGTGTATTGATTTTGCTAGTGTTCTTGCTGATTTTACTTATCAACTGCCAGAAAACTCCAATTTTTAGAGAACAGGATATTTTTCTCGATTATACAGTAGCACAAAAGATGAAATTGTTGCTACTTGCTCGCTTCTTCGAAGATCATAAACATACAAGCAAATAATACTTGCAACATTTACTATTCATTGAGATTTCAGATAATTCTATAGTTAGTCAAAATGATAGTCCATCCATTAATAGTTTGTTTTGACATTGAAAGGAATGTACGAGAAAGAACTTATTTTACCTTCCAAATTGGATGGTTAAAGTTGAGATTGGTTTGAATAACGATAAAGGTTCAAGTAAGAGACTTGTACTTGTCAAACTTAGGTGGTTTCGTTGAACCTAGATTATTTGGAGGTGCATTTTAAAACTAAAATTCCGTTGACTCTTTTTCTTTCCCTTTTAAGCAAAATGTTGTAACTAAATGAGACAGTAATATAAATTTTGCCTTCTTGTTGCTGCCTGCCTAATCAATTCAGTGATAGCCTATTCTAGTGTTCAACTGGTTTCCTTGGGCTTATATGGATGTTGCAACACAACTATAATCATTTTGTAAAGTTATCTTGCTTTCTGTAGACCACCTTTTAAGATTGGGACAAATTGAATGGGCTTTTTTATATTGAAAGGAAGCTGGCATCTTTGGCCGAAAAAATGAAATGTGTTGCTGCTGAAGTAATTTCTACTTTATTTCAATTTTCCTATAAAACTTGTTGACTGGTGCTCAACAAGTTGGGTTTTTGTAGATTGAGTTAGTGTTAGGTTTGTATTTTGGTGCCTTTGGTGGTTTTGTGCACAAGTGTGTGTTTTAATGGATTGGATCTTCTGCCTGTATGTTTGTCATATCTCAATCATGTTTCGAGATGAGTTGTGCAGTAGTGTTGGTTGAAATGAATATGTAATTTATTCATTGAAAGCAAATTGTTTCCTGATGACAAGTACTTGACCAAATTATGATTTGCTGCAGTTTTGTCTTGACAAATTTCTGTTTGTTTCATTTTTTCTTTTCAGATTGCACCAGGAAAAGAAAAGCCACGCCCAACTCGTTTCCCTGTCAAGAACAAATCTGAGGTTAACAGTCACACAGTGTGTTTTAGTTGTTTACTATTAAGTAACATAGTCAACGTACTGAAAATGCCATATTTTCTTCCGTTTTGATTTGTGCAGGCACTGATGTGCAAGTCATACACTGGCACAGGATTATGCACACCCAGCCCAAAGTCTCATTTTGTCCATCCGGTCATGGCCATTTCTGTTACAGAAGCAGCATCAGCCACAACACAAGCAGCTTCGTCGACTGCACCCAAAGCCACCATGAAGACTCCCACTACTACCATCAGCTTCCTGGACTGGTCACCTCAAGATGATGGCATTGAGGTTGTGTTGCCGTATTCTTCAACTGGAACACCTCCATCAAGGGAAGATATAAGTTCCTACATCACTGATGTTCTTTATGGTCCCACTACAAGAAGGATATTACCAGTGTTTGCTGAAATTTTCCCAGAGTAGTATCGATCCGATTTGTGTAGAGAAGCCACTTTCGCTTGAGACCAAAGGTATAATATGTACATTCCTCCTGTTTGTTTCAGATACATACTTGGTTCCTTGAAACCTTAATTTTTCAAACTTGCTGCTCACAATCTAGTATGTGAATGGGGTTAGATTGAGCACAAATTGTTGACCTTTGCTGGTGCAGAATTACCACAGTACTTGCCAACTATAGTGTATAGCTTTTCAATGGTATTAGGCATAATGTCGTACTTAGAAATTGATAAAGACAATGGACTTGAATCTTTCTGTTGCGTGTTGAGAATCAACACGTGTGTATGAATCATGTGTGATGGCGCGTAGTTGCTTGCAGATTGTGATGCTGGCATTGCATCTGGTTATATATGGTAGAAAGAATCACATCTTGAGAAACAACATAATGGTCTAGTTACATTTGGGAGATTTTTTATATATATATTTTGTGTGTAAGAATTTGGGGGATATGAATACTTAGCACTCCAAATAATCATCCTTTTCCCTCTCTTATTATTATTATTATTTTTTTTTCATCAGGCAGGAGTGGTAATGTAAGCTAATGGGTTTGTGGATAAACTACAGATTCCTAATCTTTAGTTTGTAGATATTGAGATAGGCACGAGTTTGCTGTTCCGCTGTTGTAATCTAATGGGTTTCTGGGCCATATTTGTTAAATGATTTCTAAAAGCTCGGATCTTCTTCATGACTTAAAAAGAGTTTTGAAATCTTTTGTTCTTTTGAGTAATCGTTGGGAATAAGGAGAGTAAGAATTGAATTTTTACGGCGGGACGAATTCTTCAAACTAGAAAAGAGTTTAAAAAAAAAAAATTGTTCCTATTCTCTCTCTCTCTCTCTCTTTTTTTTTTTTTTCATATACAAGCGATTTTGAATAAGGGAGAATCAAACCTATGACTTTGGATGTAAAGTTAAACATTGTTAATTTAAAATTTTAAAATTTGCAAAAAATAATTTAAAATTTTAGGCAATGAGTTTGGGAAGGCATATACCAGTATGTATCTTAATCTTTTTCACCTGTCTTCTGCAAAGAAATTTTTATTATTGTGTTGCAATGGTGTTGTAGCACAAGTGGTTAAGAGAATTACGTCATAGGTTTGATTTCCTCCTCCTTCAATATTGCTTGTATTACAAATATGTAATCTCCACAGAAAAGAGAAATGATGCGTTTTTCTTGAGGGAGAAGGGGTGGTGTTCATCTTCATCTTCATCTTTCCTAAGACCAGGCGGAGAATTGTCCTTTTCTAGCAAGTCATCTCATACCAAGTAACCAGAAATTGATATTAATGGGGACCTTAAAGTCAATATTCTTAAGCAAAAACAAGGTCATTGAAATGCCTAAAATTCTGGCAAAAAAAGCCCAAAATTGTTTATGGTAATGTAGCTGAGGAAATTGCTACTTATTAGATGAGAACCTTCTCACATCAGGACATATCCCTTTGTTGAGAAAATGTAAATGATATGAAAATTTGCAATACAATTTCACTAATATTCAAAGAATGGGGTTTTGTAATTTTTAAGTTCAACTCATCAAAGAAACATCTCTTAATTATAATCCCTCGTTACGTGAGAAAAACCTTTGGATTAAAATTACAAAGAAACATAATGGGGTAAAAGTGTGTTTGGTTGATTTTGTGACTGGGCTTGAAATGAGTTCAAAGTTGCCTGCATATCCTTTAAAGGGATTCAAGCCAACTCGTAGTTCATTGGATTTGTTTGTGATTTTGTTGATGGAGATTTGAGGTGATTTGGGTAAAAAAAGTTTGTAGTGTTTGGGGCGAATTTGCTGAGAACAATCCAATAATTTTATTTGGGTTGAATTTGGTTGATTGTAACATGTGTTTTAAATTTGGTTGTGGTTGCATCTAGTTGGATGTTGGATTGCTTACGTACCCTTAAGCCCCGTTTGGTCCATAGGAAAAGAAATTTGGGGATGAGAAATCAATTGCTTTCCCATGTTTGGTAAATCAGGCATGGGAAATCGTTCACTGGCACATGGGAAAGTAGGGGGGAAAGTGAAGTCATCTCTCTCCTTGGGTTTTACTTTCCCTTCTCATGGGAAAGTAAGGCTATCATTAAATGCACCTTTTTTCTGACTAATTTGTCCTTACTAATAATTCATAATTACAATATTATCCAACAACTATTGGTATTCCTTTTTTATTTCTTACTTCATAACATATTTTTAATAGGGATAAAATTGGGAAACTAAACAAAATTAGTTTTTCATTCATACTCAAAACAAACATGGGAAAGGAAATAAAGTAATATTTCCAGGTTACTTTCCCGGCATTACCAAACATGGGAAATGAATCATCATTTCCCATCCTTTGGGAAATGACATGGGAAATGATTTCCCATCAAATCCGTTCCGTGAATCAAACGGGGCCTTAGTGCGATCGAACCAAATATAGTTTGTAAGGCCCATGTAGTGAAAACTTAACTGAATTATGAGTAATTTGACATAATTGAAAACTATACATACAAAAATTGACAAAATTGAAACTACATGGACCAAAATGGTAAAACAGACAAACTATATTGACCCAAAATAAGTCTTTGCCAAAGGAAAAAAAAAAAAAAAAGGAAGTTCAAAGTTTAGGCATGGCGCCAACAGGTCTAGCCCAAAGGCTCTTGATTTGTAAACTAATAGTCTCAGGTTCGAAGCCCTATAACACTTTGACAATGTGTGACGGGTTTGTGTCGTGTCATGATCATATGTGTCAAGAATGCTCAACTCAAATCCGACCCGTTTAATAAATGTGTCATGCCGAGTTGACCTGCTAATTTCCTATGCGGGTTTCGAGTCGTGTATCGGATTGACACGCTAAGTGGTAGTAAGTAAAAAACATTAAAAAAATTTAGAAAAATTAGAAAAATGAAGAATAAACAAAGAAACTGGTTAGCGGGTAACACATGTATTTTAACGGGTTGGCTGGTTTAATACGTATTTTAACGAGTTGGTGAGTTGACCTGTCATGACCCGTTTTATTAAACGGGTTACATAGGTATTTTAGCGAGTTAGCAAGTTATAAAGGTATTTTAGTGAGTTGACTAATTGACCGCCATGACCTGTTTTGTTAAACGAGTTTTGAGTGGTGACCGGTTTTTAAAGAAATAGATTGCCGCACGGTTCTTTTTTTAATTTAAAAGAAATGGTATAGCCATAATCGGTTTTTTTTCCTATTTTATTTAAAAAGACCGGCTATACTCGGTCTTTTAAATTTCTTTAAAAAGAAATAGTATAGCTATACTCGGTTTTCTCCTAATTCCTTAAAAATAGTATAGCCGACCGGCTATACTCAGTTTTTTTCTAGGGCCGTGCGGCTATACTTGGTGTTCCTAGGGCCGCGAGGCTATACTCCATTTTTTAAAAAGGGTTATTCACAGCAATGGTCCCTCAACTATATCCCAAGTTACACTTTGGTCACTCAACTCAAATATTAGTTGCAAAGGTAACTCAATTAGGTGTTTTGTTGCACCGTTAGTCCTACCATCAAGTCTCTTTAACGGTATGGACTAATGGTGCAACACAACACCTAATTGAGTGACCAAAATGTAACTCCGAGTATAGTTGAGAGATTATTGCTACAAATAATCTTAACTGAAAAGTCACATTTGCCCATCAATAATCTAAGAGATGCTTGTCACGTCATCATTTTAAATAGAAAAAGTAACAGACTTGACAGTAGGACTAACGGTGCAACAAAACATCTAATTGAGTGACCTCTGCAACTAATATTTGAGTTGAGTGACCAAAGTGTAACTTGGGATATAGTTGAGGGACCATTGCTGCGAACAATCCTTTTTAAAAAAAGAAACAGTATAGCCGTGCGGTTATACTTGGTGTTCTCTATTTTTTTTAAAAAGAAATAGTATAGCCGCGCGGCGGTACGTGGTTTTTCCTTAGTTTATTTTTTTAAAAATAGTATAGCCGTTCGGCGAGACTCAGTTTTTAGATTTTTAAAAAATGAAATAATATAGCCGCGCGGCTATACTTGGTTTTTAATTTTTTTAAAAAAAATAGTATAGCCGCGCGGTCATACTCGGGGTTTCTTATATTTTAAAAGAAAGAGTATATCCGCGCGGCTATACTCGGCTTTTCCTAATTGTTTTTTAAGAAATAGTATAGCCGCATGGCTTGACTCGGTTTTTTTTTAAGAAATAGTATAGCCGCCCGGCTAGACTCGGCTTTTTTTTGTATGATGTCGTGTCGGCTATACAACTCTTTCCAATATCGCTTGTTTAAAAAACAAAAAAGTTCAGGCGTTGGCCGTGGCTTACAAAAAAACAAAACAAAACAAAAAAAGGAGATAATGTTTGAAATTTCCTACTCTCAATCTGAATACTGTACAGTATCAAAGCAGAAACAGAAATCCCTCTCACTGGCTTCCACTCCACTCTCACTCCCACTCCACTCAACCGTATCTCCTCCTCCTCTTCCTCCTCGTCGTCGTCGTCTAGGCTGATAAGGAAGGAAATGTCGAGGGAGGAGGAAAGGGCAGCAGAAATGGAAAACGAAAATGGCGAATGGGAGGAGGAGCAGTGTCGTCTGTACGAGGCCTACAACGAGCTCCACGGCCTCGCACAAGCCTTGGACACTCCCTTCGACGCTCCGGCGGTGCTCGTGGTGGGCCACCAGACTGACGGAAAAAGCGCTTTGGTGGAAGCACTTATGGGCTTCCAGTTCAACCACGTCGGCGGCGGCACCAAGACCCGCCGCCCCATCACCCTCCACATGAAGTACGACGCCGACGCCCACTCCCCTCTCTGCCGCCTCCACCTCCCCTCCAATTCCGATTCCCATTCCGATTCTGATTCTGAGCCTCACGAGAAGTCCCTCTCCCTCCAAGAGATTCAGGCCTACATTGAGGCTGAAAACATGAGGTTGGAGAAGGAGCCCTGTCTCTTCTCCGCCAAGGAGATTATTGTTCGGGTCGACTACAAGTATTGCCCGAACCTCACCATCATCGACACTCCCGGGCTTATTGCTCCTGCTCCTGGTCCTAAGAATCGAGCTTTGCAGGTGGTCAATTTGCTTATTATTGTACTGAATTTTGAATTGAAATGGTGCTCTTGTGTTTTCTTTGCTGGTCAATTTGGGTAATGTATATCATGAGAGAGTAACTATAGTTACATTTATTAGGGAAAATTTTATTTTTATTAGTAAAAATAAATAATTGATGTACTGAGTTAGTCTACTGACTAGGTATTTGTCTTGGCTAAATTGGGGTTTGCAATGGTGATTTTGTTTTGAATTTTGATAGTTGTTTGCTTAAAACTGATGTCAGGTCCAAGCTCGTGCTGTGGAAGCTCTAGTTCGAGCTAAAATGCAGCATAAAGAGTTTATTATATTGTGTCTTGAAGATTGCAGTGACTGGAGTAATGCAACTACACGAAGGGTCGTAATGCAGGTAGCCACTTTCTTTTCCGCCTTTTTAGGCGTTGTG